CACAGCAGGACCAAGTACCATCACCAAAATTCTTTTGCTCCAAATGGCCTCTGCAAGGATTGAACTCACAACTCTAGGTTTAGCAGGCTATTACTCAAACCACTAAGCTATCTCAGAGCAAAAAGTATGGCTGCAGGTTTTTCTTTGCTGGAATAGGCAGCGAGGGCACCGTTCCTCATGGGTTCTGTTACCAGAAAGTGGAAAGGTGGAAAACACTCTGAATTAATGAGCTGTGCTCAGACCAATTCACCAGACCTTCTCAGTGACAGAGCAAAGTACGATCAGGAGAGTATTTAATAACTCTCTGTTGGGCCAGTAGATGATTCAGTGCAGAGGGCCCAGCACCATGTCACCAGCCAGCTCTGAATAGACCTTGGTCTGTGAGCCAGAGCCCCAGGAGAAAACCTCAGGAGCTTTTATGATTAAACAGCTGCAGCAACTTGTCCCGGATCTGTTTGGTCCTCACCCCGTAGATGATGGGGTTGAGCACGGGGGGCATCATGTAATACATTTGATTAATGAGATCATGGAGAGGGTGAGGCCTCTTCGGGTCAAAGCGAGATACGAGGGCGAAGAAGAGGCTTGGGATGTAAAACATTAAAATGGAACAGAGGTGGGAGATGCAGGTCCCAAAAGTCTTGAGCCGGGCATCCTTGGTGGGAAGGCTGACGATGGCCCTGAGGATCTGGATGTAGGATATAACAATAAAAATCACATCCAGGCCTCTCATACAGAGTAGCACAAAGAGGCCGTAGTAAATACTGGGGCGGATGTCACCACAGGCCAGCCCCACCACGGCCATATGCGCACAGTAAGGCTGGGGGATGATGTTGGTTCTGCAATATGACCACTGTCTTGCAAGGAGGAACATGGGCAGCGTGATCAAGCCACCGCGCAGCACCACGGCCAGGCAGACCTTACTCACCACGGGTTTTGTCAGGATGGTGGAATGTCTCAGGGGATGGCAAATGGCCACGAAGCGATCCACAGCCATGGCCACGAAGATCCCAGACTCTGTCGCTGAGAAAAAGTGAAAGATATAGAGCTGGGTGAGGCAGGCACTGAAATCGATCTCCTTGGCATTGAACCAGAAGATGCTCAGCATTTTGGGCAAGATGGTTGTAGAGAGGACCAGGTCGGTGACAGCCAGCATGCAGAGGAAATAGTACATGGGCTCATGGAGCTTCGATTCCATCCTCACAATGAACAGGATGGTGAAGTTCTCCAAGACAGCTAGGATGTACATGATGCAGAAGGGGATGGAGATCCAGACATGGGCCATCTCCAGGCCTGGAAAACCCAGCAAGATGAAGATGGAGGGGTTGATGGAATTGGTTGTGTTGGAATCAGACATTGAAGACAATAAAATGGGTCAAAGTATGAGAGACAACAGTGTTTCTTGCATGTATCGTAGGTTGTCCCGACTTCCACTTTTGTACTTGGAGTCTAGGATGATGGTCTCAGGACAAATACCTGGAAAAAGACACAATGTTCACATCAGATGACACTACTGGTAATTGTCATGGTTGGAACATATTGGGCTCTTCACACAATGAAAAGTGACATTTTCCTTATTCGGATAAATGATTGATGAACAGCTGGACTTTCTAATGTGTCTCCCATGTTTCATGGAGTTCCACGCTCAATAATGTGTCATGGTCTGGGAAACTTTAATAGGCACCGGCAGGAAAAAATGAGTTGGGGCCTATCAACTCACAGGGCCATGGCTAAACAGGATTACGGATTCACTTCACACAGAGTCGATTAGGGATAGTTGCTTTTATTAATCTCACTACGTCACTACTATTACAGGGTTAATGCTGCTCTATGGTTACACAGCTACTGCAGATTGACACATCAATAAGAACAGGCAGAGCAATGTATAAGAGAGCAATAGGCACTTAGAAATGCTTACACCCCTTCAGTCTGCGGGGAGTCCCGTTCCTGACACCTTGCACCAGGCCACAGTGGACGTGACTTGTGTGTGGAGTCCCGTTTCTGACACCTTGCACCAGGCCACAGTGGACGTGACTCTAGCTGGAGGAATCCAGGGCACCCTTCGAGATCTAGGTCCCTGCTGAGACTCACTGGGCACAGGACTCCCTACACTAGTTGTTTACTGGGTGTGTGCGTACTGGCCCAATGCCACTCTTAACATTCCTATGGAGCTAAGAACTGAGGTCAGACTTGTATACTGCTTCGTAGTCTCCCGGCTCAAGGCATGGGTTAAAGCTGATAAAGCCCAGCTCCTGTTTTGCGTACAAGAGGACCAGACTGTGTACTTCAAGGATGGAAATTTCCATCCTAGCGTGCTAAGCTGCAGTCCCCACATATGACTTTTAATGTGACAGGGCCTTTGTTACCCATCTCTGTTCCTTAATGCTGGCCTGACTTTCTGTGCGATCCTGTGCTGTAGTGAGTCCTGATTCAGCTGGTTACTCAAAATTTGAGAGTGGGAAAAAAAACCCCAAACCTTTGCCAAGACACATGCCAGAGGGAACCATCCCAGTTAGAACAGACCTTGGTGATAAGCTCTGGGGATCTTAGCCAGCAACTGGACAGAAACCCCTGCTCAGTCACAGCAGTGGATAATGTTGGGGTACCAAGGAATGGGATGGAGAAGAACCTGCTCTGGACATGTGTTTTCATCACTCAGGGCCCGTCTACAATGTACCGTTATTTTGAGATAACTAACGTTATTTCAAAATAACAACGTGAGCATTTACACAGCCATTCTGTTAGTTTGAAATCATTTTCAGACGGCTTGTTCCGAAATCTGTAAACCTCATTCTATGAGGTGTAATGCTTATTTCAAATGAGGTGTGTGTAGACGCGCCACTGCTCCTTTTTCGAAATAGCCTCTCGCTGGGGCCATTATAGTTAGTTATTACTCCCCAGTGTCTCCTGGGGCTCTGTGACGTAGTGTGGGTACCTTGCTGGTTGCTAGGCTTGGGGTGTGGGGGGCCCCCACAGCTGATGGGACAGGGAGGTACCTGTTCGACCGGTTACCTCCCAGGGAGAGGAACAAAGGAAAGTGGAAAGTGGAATGCTGCCCCTGGCTGGGGGCAGGGCTGGAAGGGACGGGTCTTTAGTTGCTGTCTAGGAAGCAGGGGAGAAGGAGCTAGGGAGGGGGGCTGGGTGGAGTCTGTTCATGCCACTACAGGGGTGCAGGAGGTAGGGGACCATGATGCGCCTCCACAGGCTCTAAATCGAGATAGTACATCCACATTAGGGAAGCCTGCCTCAGACTTATTTTGAGGCTTCCCTGCATTGTAGACATGCTATTTTGCAATAAGCTACTTCGGAACAATGATTCCGACATAGGTTATTTGGAAATAAGTGTACAGTGTAGATGTAGCCTCAGTCTCTAGAAAGACTACAGGTCATATAAAGGGGGTTGGTAACACAGGCTATGAAAATGCGGGAGGCTGCCCTATGTGGACAGACTGAAAAGTTAGGAACAGTTTAGTTTAGGGAGGAGACAAACAAAGGAGACATGCTGGAGGAGAGGATGATAAAAAGTTGACATGATTGCAACAAAGTGAAAAAAGAGGGAAACTTCCCAACCAGGAAAGAAGGGCTAAAAGCCACAATACCACAGTCATTGCAGGTGGAAAATTTGGGCTAAATATTCAGCTGAGTGATAAAGGGAAACAAGAAAGTGGGATAGAAGAAGCAATCTATAACAAAGAGGATGAAAGGGAAAAAAATGGAATGATAGAATTGGAATTTTGAACTTGAATGGGGGATTTTTAAAAGACCCTGGAAACATCCGTGACTATCACAGCGAAGAACGACAGAAAGGAGGCTATTGATCATATTAAGAAGACAAGAAATGACCGAAAATGTTGAGCTAGTCCCTAGATAGAGAAAGGAAATTAGTTTGCAGTTGGGTTCCACAGGGATCCTTTCTAGGTCTGAAGCCCTTCACAAGGGCATCAAAGATCTAGAAGCAAACAGAGCAGAGACATGTTTGGCAGCGGGGTTACAAGGAGGCGCCTCGAGCAGCCATAATAATTGGTTTGGAGCACTTGGTGCGTGGGGCCCATTCAAACAAAAGTTATTAGCACAGTGAGAGGCAAAGTTTCCCTCTCGCCACAGAGAATGCAGCCCCAACCCACAGACCAAGGTAGTACAGAAGGATTTGAATAGGGTGGAGCGGGCAATAGAGAACAAAGCGGGGGAAAGGGAAAATGGCAAATAATGTAAATAGGAAGTTACGAAAATGAACGCAGGATGTTAAACTATCGTGGAAATGTAACAATGGTTTGCAAGGTGAGATATCACAAAAAGGGGGCTATGGAACATACGAAGAACAAAGGAGGAAATCCAACTTCATGGCCAACGGGGCACCTGTGACCCTTGGATGCACAACCAGGGCAGTGGTGAGTTGGCACAAGGGAAGGATTTTATCTCTGCCCTTGGCACTGGTGAAACTCTGCGTCCAGCCCTGGGGACCACAATTAAGAAAAAGGTGCCGAAAAATTGGAGCATGTGCAGAAAAGAGCCAAAAAAAGGATTGGAAGCTGGAGAAAATGCTGGAGAGTGAGATAATTCGGGATAGTCACCTATTCATCTTACATAGTAGTAACCGGCTGTGTAGTCTAGGCAGAGCACGGACAAGTAGCTAGAAGCTGAAGCCAAACAAATTCCAGCTGGAATCCAGTGCCAAATATTTTAGCACAGATGGTGACTCTCCACTGGGGTAACTGTGAAGAGGAAGGTGGGGTTTTCCAGCTCTCCGTCTCTGCAGATGCAGCCTGGCTGCTTTGCTAGGAGAGGGACTGGAGGGCTGTCTGCACTTGAAATGCTACAGCGGGGCAGCCTGAGTACATCAGTGTGTACCGCTCACCCAGATGGCAGGTGTTCTCCCATCACAGGTACATCCCCTCCCCGGGAGGTTGCAGGTTGGTCAATAGAAGAATTTAGCCATTGGCCTCATGCTGTGCACACGGGGGTCACCGTGACAGATCAGCATAAGAACATAAGAACGGCCGTACTGGGTCAGACCAAAGGTCCATCTAGCCCAGTATCCTGTTTGCCGACAGTGGCCAGCACCAGGTGCCCCAGAGAGGGTGGACTGAAGACAATGATCAAGCATTTTGTCTCCTGCCATCCCTCTCCAGCCTCTGACAAACAGAGGCCAGGAACACCAATTCTATCCCCTGGCTAATAGCCTCCATGAAATTATCTAGCTTCTCTTTAAAACCTATTATAGTCCCAGACTTCACAGCCTCCTCTGGCAAGGAGTTCCACAGGTTGACTACACGCTGTGTGAAGAAGAACTTTCTTTTATTAGTTTTAAACCTGCTACCCATTAATTTCATTTGGTATCCTCTAGTTCTTCTATTTAGGGAACTAATAAATAACTTTTCTTTATCGGCCCTCTCCACACCAATCATGATTTTATATACCTCTATCATATCCCCCCTCAGTCTCCTCTTTTCTAAACTGAAAAGTCCCAGTCTCTTTAACCTCCCCCTCAGTCTCCTTTTTTCTAAACTGAAAAGTCCCAGTCTCTTTAGCCTCTCCTCATATGGGACCCGTTCCAAATCCCTAATCATTTTAGTTGCCCTTTTCTGAACCCTTTCCAAGGCCAAAATATTTTTTTTGAGGTGAGGAGACCATATCTGTACACAGTATTCAAGATGTGGGCGTACCATAGTTTTATACAGGGGCAGTAAGATGTTCTGGGTCTTATTTTCTATCCCTTTCTTAATAATTCCTAGCATCCTATTTGCCTTTTTGATCGCCGCGGCACATTGTGTGGAAGTTTTCAGAGAACTGTCTACGATAACTCCAAGATCTCTTTCCTGATTTGTCGTAGCCAAATTAGCCCCCATCATACTGTACGTATAGTTGGGGTTATTTTTCCCGATGTGCATTACTTTACACTTATCCACATGAAATTTCATTTGCCATTTTGTTGCCCAATCACTCAGTTTGTAGCATCCCTACATCACACTTTCCCTGCTGTTTCTAAAGGGCAGATGCCTCAAAAAATGAGGTTTACAGGATCTTTTGAAAAAAACTGCTGTTTTCGAAAGTACTGCAGTTTTATTTTCAAAAAGCACCATGATGCGATTATGCAAATGAAGCACAGGATAGTTAAAAATCCCCGCTTCATTTGCATTTTCTAAGTGCCTCATTTACATCCCTCTGCAGACAGCTTTCCAAGAGACACAAGTCAGGAAACAGCCACCCTGCTACCAGTCAGAGATGTGAGGGGAGAAGGTGACAGTGTCTGGGCATGAACACTCAGCTGGCACCTAAGGTCTTTGTTTAATTCTTCCTCCAAGGAGAGTCCCTCCATGGAGCCTGAGCAATCCACGGGCTACAGCCTATGACTTTTGCTTTGTATTGTACAGCTGTTATCACCTTTCCCCCGATAGATCCCCTGGCCCACAGAAATCCAGCAACCCCAGAGCTGGAGGTGTCAGCCAGAGTGCAGATATAGGAAAAAACGGCATTTTTACCTTTGGCAATGGAGGAAATCCATCCCCTGCGACAAGGGACCTAGGGGGTTTAAAGTCTGTGCAGTGCAAAAAAGGACCAGAGACTGCCTCCCTCTCCCATTGCACCCACGATGCACTAGGGGATCAAGGAGGAGAGCTTCTAAGCAAGGGAACGGTACCTGTGAATCCTGGGATGCAAGTGTCTTCCCTGGGATTCTCTCAGGTAGCCGCGTCCCTCGCCTCTCTCACCGCAGTGTCCACAGCAACATCCCAGGCCGTGCACCGACGTGGGGACTGCACCGTCTATAACATAGCTCTGGGCTTCCCTTAGCATCTACAGGAGACACGGCATCCGGGTGTAAACAGGCTGGCGACGGGAGACATTCAGGGCAGTGTCTGTGTTCCATGGCTGCCGCTGGGCTCTTTATGCAGGGGTAGCTGTGAACACTAATTAGGGGAATTCCCAGTGGGAGATGAGAAGAGTCTCTGCCGAGTCAGAAGGGAAGGAAGTGGCTGCTCTGGGTATTTGTCTTTATTTTAAAATTAGAGTTGATAAATTAAAAAAAATGAACAAACAAAAATCTAGGGCTAATGCCTCGGGCTCCTAGGAGATCCGCTCACAGGTGAATGCCCAGGAGGGCTGGGCAGGCAGAAGAGAGACAGATCAGAAGACAGACGGCTGGGGAGACACAAACACTTTCCACAGGCACTTGTGGCAGTTGCTAAGGGATGTGACATCAATAGTTCTCGACTGTGTGTATCATCGCACTGTGCAGCATCTGTCAGTGAAGGATCTTCACAGCCGCTGGCAAAGCAAAGTCAGTCAGGGCGGGCAGTGAAGGGTCTATGGCTCCGGCCTGATCTCTGAACAGTTATTAGCACCACGGTCTTGGCCAGGGAAAGGTCTGTGGCAGAGGCCTCTAGTCCAGGCCGAATCTCGCAATCTGAGCTCCAGGCCTGAATCAGGACAGGTAGTGAAGGGTCGATGGCTCAGGGCTGCCCTCAGACCAAGTACCAAGCCCACGTTCAGTAGGTCTACCCCCTGAGTGCAGGGAGGGCAGTAAAAAAGCCTGTGGCTCAGGCGTATACCCAGGGCCGAGAAGCAAGGGGATTGGGCATCCTCGATCCAGCACGTTGGGGACTGGGCTGGGCTAGGGGTGGGGTGATGGAGGAGAGGGCCCTCCCAACTCCATCATGCCCCATGCAGAGCTGATGACAAGGAATTCTGCCGCTTATTGACTGGGGAATCCAGCCACTCCACATTCTCAGGTTTTGTGGTGTGGCCACCACACGGCCAGACTACGATTGGCTGCCCCAGTGGCCACGTCTCCCCCTACCCTTCATGGGTGCCTGGATTCATGGGAGTCCTCTGCTTCCACAGGCCAAAGATGGTCCCGTGGTCTCCTCAGTGGCTGGCTTGTGCAGCTCTGGCCCGTCTTCAGCTTGGGGGGTATCCACGGCAGCCTACCGACCTGGGCGGGCAGGAGGCATCTTTCTCCTTTGGTGTCTGCAATCGAACAGAGCCCAGGACCCACCCTTTGTATTTCCTGCGTCGCTTTCTGACTTCCTGTGAGAGGGCTGAGCATGGCCTGGCTCCCCCAAACAGAGTCCCTCCCCCTCTGGTTCAGTGGGTGACCATTCCACCTCATTACGCAACTACCTCCTGAAGTCCAGCTCCTGGTCTTCTGCGCCGGTGTCTTAATCCCGCTTTCCAAGCTGAGAGAGAAAATCTGTGTTGGCCTTATCCCCACCTGCCCTGTCTCAGCCATCAGGGATGTAATGCTGGAGGGGGAGATACCGTCTCATCAATGCTGCGTTGGGATTTTTCATGGGATTTGACCCTTTTATAGCTGCCTGGGCATTGATCAACATGAAACAACTGGACAATTCCTTTCTTAGGGGACTGACTCCTTCCCATCCACCTCCGGAGAGGAGGACTTCCCCAAGCCCCACCTCCAACGTGTCCATTTGGACTAAAGGGTGCGGGTTTCCAACACAGGTTGTCCTTGAGGGCTCAGAATGCATCATCACACTCTGTAATGCCCCATGACAGCTATGCAACCTCCAACACCAGGCCCTGCTTGGTGGGTGTGAGACAGATACAATGCACAGCCCTGCCCCGGCCTTTGGAGATACGTCCTAGGCCTTCAGAGCAGAGCGCACGTCCATTGGAACTAGACTGGGCCTAGAACCGGCCATGGCATGGTGGCTGCACCACACAGACAGCTGGGAGCAACTGGATTTCCTTAAGCTTTGGTAACCATGCCTCTGTCCTTACAGCGCACATTTGCATACCGAGATGCACATGCCGACACATGTACATGGGCCCACATGAACACACACACAGGGACACACATGCACACATACAATCCCAACCTGCAAGGCCCCCTCCAGAAGGTGCAGTCTGCTGGTGTCACAGGTGGGGCAAGACTTTGTGGGTGAATTCCACCAGAACTGAGGCCTGTGTGAAAACTCTGAGCAGCTCTGGAGCAAGGTCAAAACGCAGGCTTCCTTTTGCAGGTGACTGGCAGGTCCTTAAGCGCATGCAGGACTAGCTGGTAGCTGAGCTACGGGTTTGAGAAAGGCAATGGTGCCTAAATAAATAAGGGACATTAAAGACATAAGGGGAGAAAAATCCATGCATGGCACAGCTATGGGTCACCAAACAGGTCATGAACAGTGTTAAAAACAAAAGAAACCCTAATCACTCTGAACATCTCTGTATTTTCAGCATGGCAAAGTTCTGGCCGTGCCCCGTGGGTTTCATGTGTCTGGAGGACAGTGTTTGCGTCAGAGGCTCGCTGTGAGCCTCCACACGGCCTCTTCCTTTTCACTAGAGGCAGGGGTGCAGGCTGCTGAGTTGTATGGCTAGTTCATCGTTTTGGGGTAAAAAACCCCTCTGGAGTCCTGGTCCCCCTTTCTCAGGGGTAGACTTTGTGATGGTGTGGGGAGGAGTGGGGGGGGGACTTGGGCCCACCTACTACTGAGGTTCCACCGCAGAGAACCTAAGACAGCGATTACAGACAGGGCTGTTTTCACTTCCAGCCTGGCAGCTTCCAGTCCTAGTATTCTTCCCCCTCGTCAGTCCTCCGCTCACATCCACACAGTGCGTCTACACCCCACTTCCTCCTTCTAGTCCGTCACTTTTCTCCTTCCCCCTTCCTTACTTGGGGGAAATCTTTTAAAGCAGCTCCACAGGCCTTAATTAGCTGCAGGTGTGTGAGTAGTCTGTAGCTTCCAGCACGTTCTAATTGACCCCAGGTGCCTGCATGATTATGCTGCAGTTTGGTCTGGGTCTGCCACAACAGATAGGTAAATTGAGGCACGGGGAGTTGCTACTTAAACACTGTTACACCAGCCCCTGGCGCTGAGCGGATTTCCCTTTTGGATTGGATGTAGATAAAACACTATACAACAGATTTATTAAGTATGACAGGATAGATGTTAAAAGAGTAAACATAATAATGAACAGATCAAATTTGGTTATTAAAAATTAAACAAAACAGGATTAGAATCAAGCAGTTTCTCACTCTTGGTTTACTGCAGGTGGATTAGTCACTGATGTGGAGGCAGTGTGTCCAAAGCTATCTTTAGGTTTTGACTGTACAATTCCCAAAAGTTGTAAACATTGTATTGTAACTCACGTGTGTTCTTACAAAGTTCAGTGTGTCCTTTGACACAGTAGATCAGCCTAGTGATCTCAGATGTCAGGAAGTGAGCCTTCTTAGCATCTCTTTGTATCTTATCAGAGAGGGAGCCGTGTTAGTCTGAATCTGCAAGAACAACGAGGAGTCCTGTGGCACCTTATAGACTAACAGGGACACACGTTATGACATGTCATGTGACGAAGTGGGTCTTTGCCCACGAAAGCTTATGCGCCAATATAGCTGTTAGTTTATAAGATGCCACAGGACTTGTAGTTGTGTTTGTATCTGTGTAGCACTTCGATAGTGTACCTTTCAAGGTGGTGATAACGCCATACATCAATGTCACAAGATTGTCTGCCTCAGTTTCCCCTTCCATAAGCACATCAGTATTCCCACAGGGTTTCTTGATTACTACTCCTAACGTGGCCTCAAGCTTTTGGGACCTTGTCCACGTCTCCCTTTCCCAGAGAGATGTGATCCGTGCACTCTGGGATGAGGTGTGTTTTTTCCCAGCAGCTATTTCACAGTGTTGCCCCATCCACGTAATGTATTTCTACCCTCTGTCTGATGAGACATTGCCCTTTTTTCACACGCACATTTCGTCAGCATAAGCTACTCTAAGGGCACGTCTAAACTACATGCCTCCGTCGACGGAGGCATGTAGATTAGACAGATCGGCAGAGGGAAATGAAGCCGTGATTAAAATAATCGCGGCTTCATTTAAATTTAAATGGCTGCCCCGCTCTGCCGATCAGCTGTTTGTCGGCAGATCGGGGCAGTCTGGACGCGCCGCGTCGACAAAGAAGCCTTTCTTGATCGGCACAGGTATGCCTTGTGAAACCAGGTTTACCTGTGCCAATCAAGAAAGGCTTCTTTGTCGACGCGACGCGTACAGACTGCCCCGATCTGCCGACAAACAGCTGATCGGCAGAGCGGGGCAGCCATTTAAATTTAAATGAACCCGCGATTATTTTAATCGTGGCTTCATTTCCCTCTGCCGATCTGTCTAATCTACATGCCTCCGTCGACGGAGGCATGTAGTTTAGACGTACCCTAAGATAGCAGGCAGTCTGAGGGGGTCAAATCAGGGTAAAATGCTTATAACCAGGCCCAAGACTGGGAACCTCCTCCATAAGGCACCAAACCAGTCAGACAGAGCACTTCAGCTGCTGCTCTGGCCAGCTAGCTGTCTCCCAAGCAATCCCCTTGGACACTCCAGTGTTCCCTGTGCCACAGCTAAAACTGCTCCTTACACAGATGAGAGGTTCTGAAAAGCAATCGCACCAAAACAGAACAAATTCTTCCAGTCCCAAAAGACAGGCCACAGCCCCAGGTCAATTTATACCGCAGATTTCACCCCAAACAGCTCGCTGGACCAGTTCTTTAGAATCTAAAAATCTCAGGGATTATTAATAATAAAAAGAAGGAAACGATTGAGAGTAGAATGGTTACATCTCAAGGTTTATTAGTGAAAAGAAAGAACAGTTTGAGAATAGAATTGTTAAGGAAAGCACATGACACATCAATCCCCAACTCCTTGATACAGGCTCTTAGCAGAGATGTAAGAAACTTCTGTCCTAAAAGTCTCTGGAGTGCATCCTGTGTTAGGATGAGTTCACAATCCTCCCTGGCTTGCTGGTTGCCACAAGATGCTTCTGAAGTTAAGAGCAAGAGTGAAGAGAAAATGGAGGTTCCTTTTACAATCTTACCCGTGTGGCGGGAAATCCATTGTTCTCCTGGGTGAGCGTATGTCCCAAAATGCAGCTGATTACATCATCAACCACTCTGTCCGTGTCCTATTTATACAAACTGCCATGGGGTTCCAGCTGGTCTGCAGATGCTCGGAAAAATTCCTCAGGTGTTTATTGGTAGCACTGAAGGCCTATAGTCCATTCAGCATTGCTCTTCACTGTGTAACCACCCCTCACAAAATGTGGTCGGTGCCAGCTTCTGCCTCCCAGACAAAAAACATTGAAAAGGCAAGTACAGAGCCAATACTCATAACTTTACATACAATTTCTACATGAATCTGAGCAGCATAAATAGAATCAGCAGAGCAGAAGCTTTCATTAGATACCTCCCACACCCCACTTTGCTCAGAACTGGGGGCAATCACACCACAGTGGGGGAAACGGGGACTCGCATCTTCCAATTCAAATCCAATAATGGGCCTGTGTCAGAGTGACAGACTAACACGGCTACCCGTCTGTGACGTAAAGAGGCAGTTAGTTTTCACAAGCTCATCAGGAACATAATTATTCTAAAGGTTTTCAGTATCGCACCTTTATCCAGCGCACTGTACAATAGTTAGCAAGTGGTACAAACAACATTTAAAAACATCAATAACTGGTCTGCCGAGAGTATCAGCCATTTTCAAGTGGTCATTGAAAAAAAAAAGTTTGAGGACCACTGCGACAGGCCCCCAGAGAGCACAAACAAACATAAGAACATAAGAACGGCCGTACTGGGTCAGACCAAAGGTCCATCTAGCCCAGTATCCTGTCTGCCAACAGTGGCCAGCACCAGGTGCCTCAGAGGGGGTGGACCGAAGACAATGATCAAGCAATTCGTCTCGTGCCATCCATCTCCAGCATCTGACAAACAGAGGCCAGGGACACCATTCCAAGGCCATGGCTAATAGCCTTTTATGGACCTAACCTTCATGAAATTATCTAGCTTCTCTTTAAACTCTGTTATAGTCCTAGCCTTCACAGCCTCCCCTGGCAAGGAGTTCCACAGGTTAACTATGCGCTGTGTGAAAAAGAACTTTCTTGTATTAGTTTTAAACCTGCTACCCATTAATTTAATTTTGTGTCTTCTAGTTCTTCTATTATGGGAACTAATGAAGAACTTTTCTTTATTCACCCTCTCCACACCACTCATGTCTTTAAATCCTTCTATCCTATCCCCCCCTCAGTCTCCTCTTTTCGAAACTGAAATGTCCCAGTTGCTTTAGCCTCTCCTCATACGGGACCCGTTCCAAACCCCTAATCATTTTAAAGGGAACTGCAAGCTAAAGACATTGGCTTCACTATGGTTTCTGCCCTCAGGGTTTTGTAGCGGAGATGTACATCCTACAGACTGTATGATGCCTGGCCTCCTCCACCAGCCCCAGAACCCTGCTCACAACCCTTGGCTGCTTTTAAACAGCTTCCGTCTTCCTTCTGCCCTCCTGCCTGGCCTGCTGGCCCCGGGGCTGCATCCTCATTGCAGGCTTCTTGTCAGTCGGTGGCAGCTCTTGTCACTACCCTGGTCCTCAGGAAGCCCAGCTGGTGCAGATGAAGGGGGAGATGATCCACTGAATGATGGAGGAGTGGCAGAAAGGGGTGGGTGAGAGTGCTGGTGCACTGGAGAGTCAGAACAGAGGTGGAGACGTGGGGAATGAAATGGAAAAAATGGTGGGGAAAAGTTTGGGTAGAGGGTGAGTCTGTGAGGGAACAAGCGGGAAGGCCACAGGGCCTCAGGTGTCCAGTTACCAGAAAATTGAAAAAGTGGAAAAACCCTACGAATCAATGAGAGGTTCCCCGATCAGTTCCCCAGCTCGTCTCACGGACAGAGCACAGTCAGACCAGAACGGTGATAGAGATGTAGCCAGGATTTAATAACTCGGATGGGCCAGCCAGTGATTCAGGGAAGAAAGTCCAGCACCATGTCACCAGCCAGCTCTGCACACACCTTAGTCTGTGAGCCAGAGCCCCAGGAGAAAACCTCAGGTGCCTTTATGAATAAACAGCTTCAACAGCCTGTCCCGGATCTGTTTGGTCCTCATCCCGTAGATGATGGGGTTTAGCACGGGGGGCATCAAGTAGTACAGGTTGTTAATAAGAACTTGGAAAGGGGGAGGCTTCTTCTTGTCAAATCGTCCTGAGAGGGAGAAGTAGAGACCTGGGATGTAAAACACTATGATGGAACAGAGGTGGGAGATACAGGTCCCAAAAGTTTTGATCCGGGCGTCCTTGGTGGGCAGTCTGAAGATGGCCCTGAGGATCTGAATATAGGACACAATAATGAAAATCACATCCAGTCCATTAATAAAGAATAGCACAAAGAGTCCATAGTAACTACTGGTGCTGTAATCACTACAGGCCAGCCGCACCACGGCCATGTGCACACAGTATGGCTGGGGAACCATATTCGATCTACAATATGACCACTGCCGGGCCAGGAGGACAAAGGGCAGTATGATGAAGCCAGCACGCAGCACCACAGCCAGGCAGACCTTGATCACCACGGGGTTGGTCAGGATGGTGGAATGTCGCAGGGGGTGGCAGATGGCCACGTAGCGATCCAACGCCATGGCCACGAAGATCCCAGACTCTATTGTTGAGAAACAGTGAAAGAAATAGAGCTGAGTGAGGCAGGCATTGAAATCGATCTCCCTGGAATTGAACCAGAAGACGCCCAGCATTTTGGGCAGCATGGATGTGGATACGACCAGGTCAGTCATGGCCAGCATGCAGACGAAATAGTACACAGGCTCATGGAGGCTCGACTCCGTCTTCACAATGAAGAGGATGGTGAAGTTCCCCAAGAGGGCTATGATGTACATGACGCAGAAGGGGATGGCAATCCAGACATGGGACGACTCCAGGCCAGGGATACCCTGCAGGATGAAGACGGAGGGGTTGGTGAAGTGGGTTGTGTTGGAATCTGACATGGAGAAGAGTAGAATGGATCCAACTCTGAGGTAGAACAATGACGCCTGTCTCTACCGTATGTTCTCCTGATGTCCTGGTGCTCTGGGTCTAGGATGATGGTGGCAGGACAAATGCCTGGAAGGACAGACAATATTTTATAAGACAACACATGCACTGCTTGTAGCTGGTGTCTTGTTTGAAAGAGATTGGTGTCCTCACACATTGAAATGTGATATTTTCATTATTTGGATAAAGGATTGATGAACATCTGGCCTTTATAATGTGAAAGCCATATTTTATGCATCAATAATGTGTCGTGGTCTGGGAAACTTCAACAGGCACTAGCAGGAAAAAATTATTTGGGGCTCTTGTTACCCATCTCTGCTCCTCAATGCCTTGGAAGTCAGGCAAGAGATTCTTCATAGTACGACATTTCCTGTTCGTCTGGTTGCTCAAAATTGGAGAGTGGGAAAAACCTCAAACCTTTCCCAAGACCTGTGCCAGAGGGAACCATCCCAGCTATAACAGACCTCAGTGAAAAGCCCTGGGGGTCATAGCTAGCAACTGCAGAGAAACAACATCTCAGGGTATGTCTACACTGCAAAGATTTTTCGGAAAAACAGACGTTTTTCTGAAAAAAAAAATCACTTACATCCACACTGCGATTGAGTGATAGAATCATAGAATCATAGAATCATAGGACTGGAAGGGACCTCGAGAGGTCATCGAGTCCAGCCCCCCGCCCTCAAGGCAGGACCAAGCTCCGTCTACACCATCCCTGACAGATGTCTATCTAACCTGTTCTTAAATATCTCCAGAGAGGGAGATTCCACCACCTCCCTTGGCAATTTATTCCAATATTTGACCACCCTGACAGGTAGGAATTTTTTCCTAATGTCCAATCTAAACCTCCCCTGCTGCACTTTAAGCCCATTACTCCATGTCCTGTCCTCAGAAACCAAGAGGAACAAATTTTCTCCTTCCTCCTTGTGACACCCTTTTAGATATTTGAAAACCACTATCATGTCCCCCCTTAATCTTCTTTTTTCCAAACTAAACAAGCCCAGTTCATGAAGCCTGGCTTCATAGGTCATGCTCTCTAGACCTTTAATCATTCTTGTCGCTCTTCTCTGTACCCTTTCCAATTTCTCCACATCTTTCTTGAAATGTGGCGCCCAGAACTGGACACAGTACTCCAGCTGAGGCCTAACTAGCGCAGAGTAGAGCGGCAGAATGACTTCACGAGTTTTGCTTACAACACACCTGTTGATACAACCTAGAATCATATTTGCTTTTTTTGCAACAGCATCACACTGTTGACTCATATTCAACTTGTGGTCCACTATGACCCCTAGATCCCTTTCCGCCATGCTCCTTCCTAGACAGTCGCTTCCCATCTTGTATGTATGGAACTGATTGTTCCTTCCTAAGTGGAGCACTCTGCATTTCTCCTTATTAAACCTCATCCTGTTTACCTCCGACCATTTCTCTAACTTGCTAAGGTCATTTTGAATTATGTCCCTATCCTCCAAAGAAGTTGCAACCCCACCCAGTTTGGTATCATCTGCAAACTTAATAAGAGTACTCTCTATCCCAATATCTACATCATTGATGAAGGACCATTTCCCTAACTTGATGTAAGAACAGAGGGGGTTTTCCAGCATTGGTAAACCTCATTCTACAAGGAAGAAGCCTTTCCCCGAAAGGCGTGTGTGGATGGGGAAGAGGGAGTTCTTTCGGAAGAAGAGGAAAGAGGAGAAAGCACAGGTCCCCTGGTAGCCACTCCGTCTATAGTAATCACAGCTTAAATGCGAGATAGTGTCCATTCAATGTGAACGCTCTCTTTCAAAAAAGCAGATTGCTTTTTCGATGTGTTTGGGCAGTGCGGATGCTCTTTCGGAAGAAGTTTTTTTGGAAGATCTCTTCTGGAAAAGTTTCTTCTGAAAAAAACCTACAGTCTAGACATAGCCTCAGTCACAGCAATGGCCAAAACTAGGACAATCTTGGGATGCCAAAGGAATGAGATGGAGAAGAACTTGCTCTGGACAGGTGCTCAGTTTTCATCCCCTGTTCTCTGGAAAGGACTCAGCTGATGCACAGGGGGTTTCTCAGACAAGCTGTGGGAATGGGGGAGGCTGCCCTGTGTGAATGGACTGAAAAGTCAGGGACAGTTTAATTTAGGAAGGAGACAAATAAGAGGGACATGATAGAGGAAAGGATGATACAAATTGCAATGAGTTTACTGCCATGAAAACGTGGGGAACTTCAACAACCAATACAATCTGTAGACATGAAATGCCTTAAAAGGTTTAATTTACCATTTCCGAGGGAAATTATCAGTTGAATTGTTAGGGAGGAAAAAATCAGAAAAAAAACCCATGGGAATGATCTTTGGGATTGTGATGGGGTTTGGTCACAGACGAGCCCTTGGGTGGGCCTCCCAGGGTGCTGACACGGCCACTGCCGCTCGCCTTCCTGCTTTCTGGGACTTCTCACCACCCTGTTCTGCTGAGCCAGCTCCTTGGTCTCCCCCAGCCAAGGCCCCGAGCTGAGATCCCTGCAAAGCAGCACAAACACTGAACCTCTTTGGCTGCGTCTAGACTGGCATGATTTTCCGCAAATGCTTTTAACGGAAAAGTTTTCCGTTAAAAGCATTTTCGGAACAGAGCATCTAGATTGGCAGGATGCTTTTCCGCAAAAGCACTTTTAGCAGAAAAAACGTCCATGCCAATCTAGACGCGCTTTTCCACAAAAAAGCCCCGATTGCCATTTTCGCAATCGGGGCTTTTTTGCGGAAAACAAATCTGAGCTGTCTACACTGGCCCTTTTGAGCAAAAGCTTTGCGCAAAAGGGACTTTTGCCTGATCGGGAGCAGCATAGTATTTCCGCAAGAAGCACTGATTTCTTACAGTAGGAAGTCAGTGCTTTTGTGGCAATTCAAGGCTGTGTCTAGACTACATGCCTCTGTCGGCAGAGGCATGTAGATTAGACACATAGGCAAAGGCAAATGAAGCTGCGATTTAAATGATTGCAGCTTCATTTACATTTGTATGGCTGCCGCGCTGAGCCGACAACCAGCTGATCAGCTGTTTGTCGGCTCGCGCACTAGTCTGGACGTTCTCCCTGTCGACATCAAAGCCCTTTGTCGGCAGCCCTGGTATTCCTTGTGGAATGAGGTTTATCGGGGCTGCCGACAAAGGGCTTTGATGTCAGCAGGGGGGATGTCCAGACTAGCGTGTGAGCCAACAAACAGCTGATCAGCTGTTTGTCGGCTCAGCGCGGCAGCCATGTAAATGTAAATGAAGCCGCGATCCTTTAAATCGCGGCTTCATTTACCTTTGCTGAACAAACAAATCTACATGCCTCGGCCGACAGAGGCATGTAATTTAGACGTACCTATGCATACATACTGACAGTTTGACCCCACAGGGAAACACAAATGAAGATCAGCATACATACCAATCAGATATCCAAGGCGAATGCAGTTAGGAGCCCCGCTCCTCCCCAAATGGGATCAGACCCCCAGTGAATTACCTGGGTGAGCCCCCTTAGCAATGGAAAAGGGAATGTGCACACTGGTTGCCTCTCCAGGTAACAGTTGTTTACACAGGGCTTGATAGACAATACAAGTGATTGTATTAAGTACAAGCAGTAGGATTGAAGTGATAATAAGTGAGAACAGGCAGAGCAAAGTAAGTTACAAATCAAAAGACACAAAATCTCTTGGCTAATTCTCCACTGAAACCTCAGCACAAACTTACTCAAACTCCCCCTAGAGCCTCTTTTCCAGCTGCCCCTCCAAACCAGGGCGGTTTCCCTACCCTGGGGTCTTTGGCTCCTTCCTTCAGAGGCAGCAAAGCCAAAAGACCTCAGCCCTTGTTTTCCTATTCTTTTTTAAAGAATTGAGGTCCCTCCCTATCAACCCCTGCTCAGAGTTAAGGAGAAAAGAGATTAACAGTTGCTCTTCAAGACTTTGAAGGTAACACCCTCCATGTGTCTCATTCACACATTTAAACCCACAAAGCATTCCTCGCTCCATATGTCTAATTTCACACACAAAAATGATACACACATCAAAGTAACATAAACAGACCCAGGGGATTGGTTACATGAAATAATTCATTCAAAGCACCTTTGAGTTATGCATATTCATGTCCATCCGTCCATTTCAGAAAGCCTGGGGGGGGTCTGTCACAGATTTTTTAAGAAGAGTTCATGGGAGAGTTGAAAGCCACCATGTCACAGCAACTGTGGGTTAAAAATTTGTTGTTAGATCCCAGCTGTGTGAAAAATGGAAATAAGAAATTAGGATGGAGGGAGCAATCTATAACAAAGGGATGGAGAGAGAAAAAAAGCAAATAATACAAATTGGAAGATATGAAAATGAACGAGGGATGATTAAACTATTATGGACATATTCACAACTCTTGGAAGTAAAGATCAGAGAAAGGAGGTTATTTAGCATATTAAGAACAAAAAGAAACCCTAGGAAAGGTTTAGACAATGCCTAGATGCAGAAAGGAAACTTGTTAATGTCGCATAAAAGGTAAATATGTATAAGAAATAGTTTTGTTCTGAATTTGGAACATAGCATTGTTATAGCCTCATATTGCCTAAGGAGGTGAAATATATTCCAGTCTATTAGCAACAAAGGAGGATTTTAAAAATATTAAGTCAAACATTTGAATTATAATAGTGATAGAAATGTAGCCGTGTTAGTCTGGTGTAGCTGAATTATAAACACTCGAGTTGCACACAAGGATCAATCACACGGCTCATTTGGAACTACAAATCTGTAATCAGGTAGCAAATGCAAAATACATACTTTAAATAAATAATGGCAAATGAAAGGCAATTTTCTGCATAATGTAGTTAAAAAAAGACAAACTTGGGGAAAAAAGAGTTGACAAGGAAAGGAAATAATGGAAAAGCTGATATGCAAATGGTTACAAAAAGTTTGGAATCTAATTAATGCCAGGCAACATCATGGTGTATAGAAAACCGACAATGTCAAATAAGC